TACATTGAGGATGGATTTTGTAAAGCCATTGTACTCGAGTTTTAGCACAGCAATCTCCTATCTACCATAAAACATGCCGAGAAAAATGTAGGTTGACACGGAGAAACTTTTATATTGCGAAGATGACGAGGGAAACAAATTACGAAATAGCTGAGTATGGCGAAGTGGTACTGTAGCGAAGTGGTACTGCAATAAGTATGGGTTATGGGAAGACGGCGTAGTAGCTATGCAAATGCCGATTTCTTGTTTCGAAATACCGTAAACCAACAAATCTCCATTCAGCCAAAAAAAAACTCAGTACGTACACTGCTACGGTACTTCGTGCAATTCCCAGTGCTCCCATACACCAATCAAAATAGAGACAAAGCACGAAGCACAAGACACAACGACTTTTACCTGTGCCGCGGTTGCTGCAGCATCCAACTCCTAAATGACGTTGTAGCACAGCATCGAAGACACTGATGTCCGGGATGCAGTACTGATATCTTACTGGTCCGTTCTGCCCTATACGGACAGATCATCCGGCTTGACCGCGCTATTATAATCGCGCTGTTGCGATCATAACAACACCATCTCTTCCCATCATTGGCGGACCCAGGGGGGCAGGTAGGGGAGCGGGGCTGGGTCTTTCCCCTTCCCCTTTCCTTCCCCCAGCGACACAGGTTGCAGTGCTAAAAGTGAAGTAAACCCTCTTCGGTACCCCTCATCACTCCCCTCCTCCCCCCTCTCTCCCGCTTCCTTCCCAAGAGTCTCACTTTCTTTTTCCCTCTCCCCCTGTCGCTAAGAGCGATGAGTGGAGGGTGAGATGAGAAGGGGAGGGAGGAGGACAGTGGCGCTCCGGACGTAGTGACGAAACGGGGAGAAGGGAGAAAAATCGTCCCCTCTGCCCTCCCCGGGAAACCACCGTGGATCCCGTTGCTTACTTCATTCTGCTTGTTTCGTGATGTTTGCGTAATTTAAAGCGTTTTGAATGGTACGGTATCACAGGAGAAGGGGAGACTGACAAATGTGATACGCCTCAGTGCACGGAAAATTCACTTATAGAAGGTGACTGAGTATGTGTTTCTCGGATTAGAGGTGCCACCAGCACAGTGTAGTTGTTTGGCTGGAGTGTGATCGCAGGCACTGCATGAATTTCATTAGTAACGCGTGATGCTCAACAACAACGCCGTCGTCGCTGCTTAATTTGATCCTGTTTTTGCAAACAAATTCCTGAATGCATTAAAAGGGATGCATTTCCCACATATCCCTTGTTGTATCCATTCTATTCTGGATTTTGCTTACTGAGCATACATGCATTCAGGAATGCAGAGAATTTGTTGCTCGCTATGTTTATTCCTTTGCGACTAAGCGAAATGATTGAAATAGGGCTTCAAACTGAACCATTTCGTTCTGAAAACGTTTGTTTCTTGAATCGCCTCACAGTAACACGGCGTTGTTTAGCTCTCTAATATCTCCCTTCGTATGTGCAACAGTGCTGTTAGACAAAACACTTGTAATTGTAAGAAATTATCATATCTGTTTTTAGCAGATATGCCTAGCTGTGATACATTCTGAAGTGCCATAGCATTTGCTACAGTGTAGGGGCCGTTAAGCCAACAAGCCTTTATTTAATCAAAAAAAAAAAAA